CGAGTAGATGTATAGCCCATTTTTGGGATGTGGGTGGGGGAAGGAGGGAGGAGGGGAAGGGTATGTACTTACATGATGGGTTCGGTGCGCACCACCTGGAGGCTGGACACGATAGAAGTGCTGGCATAGCAGGGTGGGGGGTCAGGGGCAAGATATGTAACCCTAACAATATCTGTACCCCCATAATATGAAGTAATAATAATAATAAAAAAGAGAAATCTTCCCGCCTTGCCCTCCCAAAGTGCTAGGATTATGGGTATGAGCCATCATGTCCAGCCAGATGATTTCTTTATTATATGTTTTAAGCCATTTTATGGGCCTTTCAGATATTTGTCTATTGCACAAAATCACTATATTAGGGCTATTCCTAATAAAATATTGCTTTACATGTGGTGAATATAATGATTTTCTTATTTTGAAGATTAAATATTTTTGTTAATAGAAATTCTCCCACTGCTCTAAATAAATGTTTAATAAAGATTTAAATATATTGCCTTCAAGGGACATGCAATTCTCCCTCCGACTAGGATGCTCATAAGTCTCCCTAGGGCCATGTCTATTAGGAACACTTTACCTCATTAACTCAATTTCTCATCACCGATTATTTGCCCAGGTTGCCATGTGTTGGTTATCGTACCCCTTTGGTCCTCTTAGTGTCTGCTTTTCTGTTTGTCACCTCAGCTTTCCTTACCCCACTTGTAGGTTTGGCTCCTGGGGCCTGTTCCCTCTTTCCCATGCTCTTATTGTGCGCTGAGTTGTGTTTGGAGGTATGATGGGTGTGACGCTGATGGACAAGCCTTGCCTGACATGTTTAGTGCATTGCCATTTACAAGCATGTTAAGCATGCTTCCTTTTTCTTGGTCCCCACAATAGCTATGGGAGACAGTATGTATTTTCAAGCCTTGCATATGGAAGATTTCATTTAGCGTAAGGGGAGGGGGAAAATGCCGTTTGTAATGGGTTCTTTGGAGCAGCAGTGAGCCCTCAAACTGAACACTCTGTGATTTAACTTTTATATAATATTAATATGGCGTAAGTCGTTGGCAATACCAGTAAGTTCAAATTTGTCAGAGGTTGAGAGATATAGACTTAAACAAACAACATCTTGACCCCATCTAATCACAGTGAAACTCATCTCTCTTTCTTAGCAAGGTCGGTGACTAATGCAATAGGTATTGTTATTTTCACATGACATTAATGGTAAGAGAATTTTTAAAAGTTATTTTTGGTGAATAAAAATATGCACAGAAACTAAGTTTAGAATCTTTTATTCTCCGCCAAAGTAGCAAATCAAAGATGGGAAATGCAGCTAAAACTGATAAAAGATGGAGGCAGACTTGGAATAGCAAAAATATAGATCAGCTGAAGCAAGTTAGTAGGAAAGAGGAGACTAAGCAAATTCAACATGCCCAGACCTGTCAGAAGTACTTTTTCCTGTTAGATATGATACAATGTAGTTCACATAAAATGAATGAGTTAATGTTCTCAAACATGGAAATTCTTTCCTCTCCTCTCTCCCCTCAAAGCACAGAGTCATTTACATATTATGGTTTTATATAATTCAAAAACACATTATTGTCTGAATAAAGAAGCTCACAAAAATCTGAGAATCTATTCATTAATTTCTTTACCAGTTTTCATGGTGAAACATTGTATGGTTATTTTCTGTTTTGTGTTCTATGGTAGGTGCTGTTAGGTACAGAAATAGGAAAAAGAAACTGTCCTGGCCCTCAGCTATAAGTTTATTTTTTCTGTTTTAATTTCTTAAAATTTTTTACTTTTAAAACTTTCTTTGTTAAAAACTAACACACAAACACATGCGTGAACCTAGACCTACATGGGGTCAGGGTCATCAATATCACCGTCTTCCACCTCCACGTCTTGTCTCACTGGAAGACCTTCAGGGGCAATGACATGCATGGAGCTGTCATCACCTATGAAAACAGTGCCTTCTTCTGGAATCCCTCCTGAAAGACCTGCCCGAGGCTGTTTTACAGTTAACTTTATGTTTTATATAAGTAGGAAGATACACTTCAAAATGATGATTAAAAAATATAGCATAGTAAATATATAAATCAGCAACATTATAATTTATTATCATTATCAAGTACTATGCACTGTACATGATTGTATGTGCTGTACTTTTATATGACTGGCAGCACATTAGGTTTGTTTGCACTAGCGTCACCACAAAGCCATGAGTAATATATATTGTACTTCAACATTACGATGGCTACAATGTCACCAGATGACAGGGATTTTTCAGCCCCATCATGATCTTATGTAGTCCCTCATTGACCAAAACATCATTACATGGCGCGTGACTACTTCCGTATATTTACATTTATCCATTCTCTTTTCAATTCCATGCACTCCCATAGCAATCTTTCCAATGCTCACTGCGCCCACTGCTACCTGAATGTTGATGACTGCAAATCAATACCTTCATTCCATGCTTGTTTCCTTACCTTGCTACACTTTTAATTCTTTTTGGCTCCCTGCTATTAATTACTAACAGTATATCCCACCGAAAAATCCAATGCATTTAAAACAAAATTATTTATCTTTCTCCCTAGGCTTGCTGTTGCTCTTCTATTATGCACATACCAGAAATCTGCACATAATTACAAACGTCTGCCTTTCTGCCAATGCCTAATCTCTTCTATCCATCTGGTCACTGGATATTATAGGTTTTCCTTACTTTAAATCTCTTAATCTGTTAGCCCTTCCCCAATCCAGCACTATTGCCCTATTTCAGGTCTTTGTCATCTCTCACTTATGGAACATTTTAAGGATTTACTCATTAATCTTTCTTTCTGTGATTTCTCCAAGACTACATTGTTGTAGCAAGTTTATTTTTTTTTTAAGAAAATCATATAATTTTACATCCATGCTTCAAATTTCCTGGCTCTAAAATGAATCAATATCATCTATGCATGCCATCCAAGGTCTTCTTTGATTTGGTCTATGTCTACTTACCCAACTCATTGTCCATTTTTACCTGTCTTCCAGCTCCACTTCCACTATAGGATCCTGGGTTCACTTGCTACTTCAGGCTGTCTTGCTTTTGATTTATTACCTTTGCCTCCTAGGCTTTCTCCTAATTCTGCTATTCGTCCTCCCCACCTGTCTGGTGAATCTCTGCTGGTTCTCTAGGGGCCTGCATCAAACATCATCTCTTCTGTGAAGAGCTCACAGCTATTTTCTCCTATTCTTTTTCTTAAGGGACTTGATAATTATTTTTAGACCACTACAGTATTTGTTTCACTTTGTTAGCCTTTAACACAACCATTTATTTACATAAGCATCTTCTTTAATGCCAGCTTTTTGAACTAATAATCCACATATCAGTAATTGCTACCTTCAGGACCTATCACAAATCTGTGTGATTCGGGGTAGTTGAATGTAGTAAAGTAGGAGAGGAGAGTGGGAATATTTTATCAAAATATTATAGCATTTTATAAAAACTTAAGTGAAATACAGTAGTGTGGGGAAAGGATATATTTCAACGGAGCTTGCCAATGAAAATAATACCAGTAAGAGTTTTGCTGAGACACCAGTGTTGGTTGTGGAAGTTGCATAAGCATCACATATACAGACCTTTCTTCTTCTTTTTTTTTTCATTTTCCTTCCCTTGTTCTTCACTGACTTCCTCTTTCCCTCCCTCCCTTTTCCTTTTCTCTACCTTTTCCTTTCTTTCTTTCTTTCTTTCTCCTTTCTTCTTTCATTTTTCAAGCTCACATTGAATTATTATTTTAGTACTTTCCCAGCTATTAAGCACTGTGCTTTATTCATAATTACATGTTTACTGGATGATTCCAAGTACTCATGAAAGAAAGTCCATCTTGACATTTTTTTCCCTTAGTGAATTGTGCATAGCCATATGTGAACTTGCCTTATTGACAAGGTGGTGAGTCAGTGTTAGTCACCCAGGACAGCAATGTTGCAGCCAAAGGGAATTGAAGTAAAGGACAAAGGACACAGCCACCCTTGTGCCTCAGCTTGCTTTTGCTTCTCTGTTGACTATATTTCTGAAGTCTGGTCTTTAACTCTTGCCATGATGTTTCTGAGTCCATCATGAAAAGGCCTCTCCTTTCTTGTTTGAATGTTTTGTCTTGAGACTTACAGCATCTAATCTAGTATCATAAACTCTGATATCCTGAGTATTTTAAAGGAGGTGATGACTGCAGGACTCTGCTGGGCTGAATCCAGTCAGTGTGTGAGGTGTACATGGCCCTGTGTATGACATTCATCTGGGGCTCTGACACTATGGAACCCATATTCTATATGCAGCCATGACAAGCAGGCACAAAGATTTCCTTTCTGAAGCGATTTCTGATTCCATTATGAATTAACTAGAAAACCTCAATCTCATACACATTATTTCAGGACAAGTCAAGGAAATCTCTTTATGTTTTTGGTTTACAACCAGAACAAAATATATCCCCTGGCAAACAAAGTGGCAGTAGGTGAGTCCTGTCTTCTATGGAAAGTATTACGACATCAGCAAGTAGTTGGTAAGCAGGGAATGCATGCAATTCTGAATTGTCTCCAGGAAATATTCGACACTGTAGTGTCTCAGTGAAGCATTTGACTTTGCATCAGCTGACTACGAATCAGTGTAGGATATATAGCTTCCCTTTCATCCTCCTCTCTAATTGAAAATGCCAGAGAAAAGAGGTTTATCCTATGGGAGGATCTGCATTTGTTTGGTAAGTTTCTGACATTGATTTTTTTTTTTTCTGGTTCCAATAAAAATCTGAAATGTGGTTGTTTCTGTGTGCCAAAACATTCACGTATTGAACATTCAACACAAAAACATTAAAACATGTATTTCAGATTAGTTCCTTCATTTCAAAATGGATTATCTACTTGACTATGAAGGACTATTCTGGTGTTGTCAGGCATGAATATGCTCTGTTATCCATAATACTATCACACATTTCCAATAAACATGCTCTTCTACTTGTTGATTTTTATTTTTTTTCTTCTTTCGTTAGGTATTTATTGAGAGCTATTACATACCAGCAACTGCACTGGGTCCAACAGAACAGAATAAGACGGGGTCTCTACCCTCATGGATCAGTCTGGTGAAAGTGGTAAGCAGTCAAATATCCCATAAATAAGTATGAATCTGTGGCTGCTATTAGAAGAAGTACATGTTGCAAAGAGAAGAGAAGAAGAGAACTTAATCTGTCAGAAAGATCAAGATGGTGTCTCCAAATAAATGAACCTTGAACCGAAGATATTCAAAGAAGGTAAGAGTTAACTAGATGGTGAAGAAAGGGAAAGTATTTTAGACAGAAGGAACAGTAGTCATTTGATTTCAAGCATAGATGCTCCTCAATTCACCATGGAGTTATGTCCTAGTAAACCCACCCTAAATGCGTCTTAATTCAGGGACCGTCTGTACTTTTGTCTGACGTAGCAAGGAAGCAACGTTGGCCTTCAAGTTAATCCTACATTTGAAGCTCGGCTTCAGCAGGGTAGCTGAGCGGCCTTGGGGAAGTTTTCACTTTTAACCCGGTGGTAAAACATAACTCTAGGGCTTGTTTTAAGAACTATAAGTGAGCTGAAAGGTTTGTTCTATTTCTTTGTGTCTTCTTTTCTACTTTCTTCAGATCAATTGTTCTAAACATAAACCTCTTCCCTTAGCTATTAAGAAAAAGGGACCTAGAAGTCAAGAAGTATGCCATTCTGCTGTAGGCTACAGAGGAAATGTTTTGGAAAAAAAAACCTTCTTGATTTTTCAATGTCTGCTTTGTTCTATTCATTTTCTGTTTTTTTTTCTCTTTTCTTTTCTGCAGTACTGATGGGTTTAGGCCATGCTACATCAAAACATGGCACCTTGGCATTTGAGACGACAGCAGAAGTAGGAAAGTCCCTCTCATCTTTCCTTACACTTTTCCCCTGAAGCAGGAGGTGCCCTCCCTGCACCTGGGGAAAGGGACATGCTTATCTCCAAAGACACAGGGACACAGAGAAGACTCTGAAGGCTGACACCTTGCTAAGTTCCCTGCAGTTATTGCCGTTAGACCCCCATTTTTCCAGTCCTACTTCTCCATGGCTGTCAGCTTCATCAAACCTGGCGTGCAAAATACATGGTTTTCTCTGTTTCTGTGGGTCCTTGTGAAGGCTCCCGTGTCACATAAAACTTAAACATTAAATTAATTTGTCTGCTTGTCTCTTGTTAATCTGTCTTTTTGTTATAGGGTCCTTGGGCCATAAACCTAGTGATGGGAAGCATTCTTTTCCTCTGTTTAGTGCTTTAGATTATTGAACCCAATTATCCCTCAAAAATCTGAATTACCTTGTCTGTTTTGATTATTGCTGTTCTTGTCATTTAAAAATACAAGGTCGTGGTAGATTAGTTGTATGAATGACTCTAATTCTTTGTCCTGTCCTGTAGGTAGGCCTTTGGCTGTGTGACTTTGCAGTTTTTCTCACTGCAGGGGTGGAGTCCATTTCCCTCCCCTTGAATCTGAGACTTGCAACTTGCTTTGGCTAATGAGGTGTAGTTAACAGACTTGGCACAAGCAGAGCTGGAAAAAAACCCTTTGTGTGTTTCTGCTTGCCGCTTGCTTCTCTGAAATTGCCGTGAGAACATGCCCAGGCTAGCCTGCCGGAAGGCGAGCCACGTGGAGGAAAGTCACATTATCCCGGTTGTCCTGGCTGAAGCCGTCCTCCTCAGTGACAGCAGGGTGAAGCCCAGACTTGGGAGTGAGCCCAGCTAAGACCGACCAGAACTGTCTAGCCAAGCCCAGCTGAGTCCACCAAAATCACTGACCTGCAGACTTAGAAGTAAAACAGTGCTTATTGTTTAAAGCCACTGAGTTTTGGGGCGATTTGTCATGCAGCACTGTTGTGGTAACAGAAAACTGCTACAGGGATAAATTCTTATTTGTGACTTTATTATTTCTTTATAATTTCCTTCAGTGACAATATTTGATTTTCCAATGGAAGCCAATGGGAAAACTGTAAAACAGATGTTTGGCTATGAATAACTTTTTGGGAGACTTTATGTTCCATGAAGTGTGATATACCTATAGTTGGACACTGGAAATTTAGGGGGGGAAAAATTGCCTCTCCCTTTTTCTTCCGTAAATATAAGAAAATATGTAGTCAGTTTCTCCCAATAATAATTTTTTCTTTATTTATAAAGAAATTCAGATCATCGCATGACTATGTTCTAGAAATGAAAATGAGGAGAGCACAACCCTTTGCTTCTTAATGAGAGGTGCACGAAACTATGCGGGTTTGACATTTTATTGAATATAAATCCATGTTAGTTTTATTACTTATAAGGAAAGTTTCTCATATTCTACTCTTTAGAAATGTGTCTGCCTTCTTTGGCCTGGAAAGGTGGCTGTAATGCCAAGTTTGACAGCTGATTCTGCATAACCGCTTAGTTCCATATCCTTGGATGGAAGCGACTCTAAAAGCAAACAAATGGACATACCATTGAGTTATATAAGTAAAGGTGGCATGCACAACCCCTAGAGTTCCCATCGTGGGTTACTTATGTCTTTAACTAGTTTATATTAAAGAAAGTTGTGAGGTTATTAAGAGGAGTTTAGGTTTAATTTGGAGAGTTTTTTTTCCCAGCTACTCACATGTATCTGGCCTTCTCCCTGCCATAAATCCCAGAAGTTGAGAAAACTACCCAACCAGCAAAACTCTCCAGCCCTGGGAGAAAAGGCAGCAGAATGAGAAGATAGTGGAAGAAGTCTCTGGGGCATGGAGAGATCCTGGGTGACTGAGGGCTGCTTTATTTTAACACGGCCCTGTGCTATGCAGGGCATGGCAACCAACTATACACATGAAGGTGGCCCGCTTCTCGGAGGAGTTATCCTCTTTACAGCACACCATCTTGGTGGCTGTCTAGCAATTTACAGTGTCTTTGGTGAGTCAGAGATTCATTTTCATTTTTAGATAATGTTGAAGTGGTAATTTCATAGACTGTCCCTGTGATGGGATATTATACAACATTTAAAACAATACTTTCAAAAAGAAGTTTTAATGGCTTGAAAAATTATTGCATAGGTGGAAAAGGCTGATTGAAAAACTGCATATGTGATAGAGTCTTGTTTATGCTGCATGTGTATTTATTTATTTGCCCTATGGAAAAGACCAGAGGAAGTATACCAGAGTGGTTCTTTCTATATGGTAAACTTATGATTGTTTTATCAATCTCTTTTATGCTTTTTTGCATTCTCAATTTGAAAAAGTAATTATGTAAGAATTTATTAAATATAATTAGAAACATTAACATGTTAATGAAACTATACTTGTTTTGGAGAACTCTGAGGATAAAAGATGTGTCTTATTTATTTCCAAACTCCTAATACTTTAGCACCCAGTGTTTGGAAGGTTGTAGAGAAATAATTAAAAAAAACACATTTGATGAATGAAAAGGAGAAATTAGACAAGGATCCAGTAGGCTGAATGGGCCTCAGCTAATAAGGCGGAACAAGCCTATCTTAAGGTACAGTTATAAGAAAGCAGGGAACTTTTTCTTTAATAGTTATTGTCATTCTTATCCTAAAATAAATAGGAATTATCTGAGTTACAGGAAAGATTTTCATCGGACAGTTGACAACCATTGGATTCTCTCTTGATCTTTTTTCAAATTATTAAACAAGTATAATTATTTCTGAATCCAATATTTCTCTATAGAGCACTACTCTAATGGGTATATAGAATAAGACAGACTATTAATAGCAAGAAGAATAAAGGAAGCATTCATTCATATTTTGATGAAAATCTCATCCTTTTCCTCCAGGAAGTCTTCCTTGACTACTGCAACTGCTATTCTACTTAACTATCTTCATGGCATATTGTCATTCAGCCGAACACTTTGCCAAAATCATACTTTGTTTTCTGTGTATTGATTTTGCTATGATTCCCACAGGCAGGAATCATAGCATAGAATTTTTCTTTTCTATCAAAGGGAAAGTTCTTTGGTGGGCTAACATGCATGCAGTTGCTTTCAAGCCCTTTGCATATGTTGGCTCATGTCATTTTCTCAACAGCCACAGGAAGCAGGTGACTCTTCGTTTCCATTTTACAGACAAGGAAGCTGAGCAGGGAGGTTGAGGATCTTGCCAAGCTCAGATAGCTCAAAAAGAATAGAGCTTTGCTTCAAAGTCCCTGATCTTAATAACAAGTTTACACAGATTCTTTAACATTAGGAAGTGCTAAGTCAATGCGTGCCATTTGTTGAGAAAGAAGGCCTGGATCATTTTGTGATTCCAAAATAATCTTAGACTATAAATGGAGAAAAATAATAGTATTTCCGACAAATTTGATATGGAGGCTTGAAAGATGAATCCTACTTTAAATGATAAATCACAAGCAAATGAAAGTTTAGTTCCTGTTTGAGTTACCCAAGGGATTGGGAGAAGCTATTCCTTTGTGATGAGTTGATCTATGTGTATACATTAAACTACCTTCTTGTGCTGGTAGGAGAAGTAAACATTTCTGCCTATTTAATTCTGCATTTTGTTTTGGTTCTTATTTTGCATTTGCAGCAGGTTTTAATGTGCGTTACAAAAAAAAAAAGAACAATGGATACAGTGAAGATAACCTCTATTTGTTTAAATCAGAAGATAAGTTAATGGCATACGAAGGCTTTCAAACAATACACTGAGTTCAGAGAGTATCACGCAGCCTCTGCGGTTCCTGAGAACAGAGCAGTCAGTCTTTCAGAAAGTAGGCCCCGGTGTAGTTGAAAAATACTCTGAGGCCCAGATCATGACCTGGGAAGGTGGACTTCAGTTCTTTCTTTCAGCTTTGCCCAACTCACATGCGTGCTCTGGGTCTAATCATTCTCCTTCTTTCTGCCTGGGCTTTCTTATCTGTCATTGGGGGAATTAATAACAGGCCTTTCCTTGGAAAGCATTTTGAAACCTTTCCCTGAAAGGTGTCGGTTGTCCCTGTTGTTATTAATATTGCCGTATCACCGTTACAGGCCAGCCCTGACTTGGAATGGAAAAAGTGAGCCGACCTTGCCCGACGTTATTGTAACCCTATGAGCCCGTCAGCTTGCTTTTATATCTGACCCTGATGGCCTCCTGCTACTCCATGAAGCTCAGCCTTTTGACAGCTGGCCCAGGGTCATTCAGTTCAGAGCAAAAGTGGGCCCTGCGGACATAACACTTTGAGGGCTTTTTGAATGATCCAGCTGGGGCGGGTCCAGGTTCTTTTTTTGTGCCAAATGGAAAATGAAGTCTGAGTCCATCCTGGGGAAACTCAGCATGGAGGAGCAGTGCACTCTGTTCTTCTCCTTTCCCCTAAATTCATATTTAGTCCGAGCTGCTGCATTTAATTCTTTATTACCTACCGCTAGCCATGAACATTTCCAAAGCCCGTGCACTTCGCCTCTTGGCTTTGAACCCTTCAGCTGCGAGGGAAACTTTATATTTTTATGTCTGCTTGGCTGGAATCTACTCCTCTGGGAGAGAGAAGACAGTAATTGCCTTTTGGGTGATTTCACCTCCACTAATTCTTTTCACATTCATAGAGGGTTTTTGATAGAACCTGAAGCAACAAACCTGCATCCTGGCCTACAGCAACATCAGAAGAGCAGACTTCAATGGCAACAGCCTGTTTATAATCTCTTGGGCCCATCTCTGTTTTCATTTTCCTGTAGATTGAAGTGGATGTAGTGCAGAAAACAATAGCAGGATAATACTGTAATCCTCTTGGTGCTCACACATGTTACTCACTAGCATGCACTCGGGGATGTGTGTAAGAATCTTCTGTCCCTAGGCCCATGGGTAAACAAAGGATCCCGCAGTCTGTTGCCTATCCCTGGGGAATTAAGAACAAATGTATAGAGTGTAATATTCCTGAAGATTAAGTTATTTGAAAGGCATTTTATTTTATAATCATGCAAATACATCTGTTCTTGTTTTTCAGGCTGGTAACCAGATCTCAAAGGGCTAGTAAATAATCTCTCCTTTCCTTTCTTCCTGGCTACTCTACCGGCTCTCCCTTCTCCTTTGCTCTTTGATGCATAAGATGGGGTGGGTGGGTAATCAGGCACTGAAAAGCCATGGGCAGTGAGGGTCATTTTTCATTTATTATTTTTTCTGGTGCTTTGACTTTTCCTGACTTTACATGGTTAAAGAAAGGGGAGAG